TCGGAGTCAGCTGGGCTGTTTATAGCATTTTTAGTGTTTCTAACTTAATATCAGCATCTTTGAAGCTGGAAGAGAATGATAATAATGTAAGGGATTTCTGCAGCTGGGAGCCAGGTTGAAGGGTGGACAGCATGCACAGTATCGAAAACGATGTCATTGACGAGAAATCTTAAAAGTGATATGGCAGGTCCTTGGGCACAATAGGACGCTTGTTTAGGGTGACTCTGAATTACACCCATAACTGTGTAACCATGGAAGTGGGCGAAATTGCCGATCACTAGGGCGCTGAAGGAACACTGTTCCCATGATTCCTGGAGTGCGGGGAAGGGCGCTTGGGGGATTTAGCAAATGCTCTATTCCGTCCGAATCTACATGCTTTCACGAGCCTTCCTTCGAGCAACGAAGCCAAATCCGGTTGACCCATTGTTCCACGGTGACCCAAGTCGAGACGGCTGTCAATTGACACCCCGTTCAGTCTCGACGTATGCTCAACATTTTATGGTCATTAAATGGGACATTATTTCAACGTTGACATAACGTTATCACAGACGTGCGCGCGACATTTTATGGCGTTCAATGGGACGTTATTTCAGCGTTGACATAACGTTATCACAAACGTGCGCTCGACGTTTTATGTTAAATGGGACGTTATGATATTGTTAATATGACATTCTCTATTGACATCCCGTTCAGTTCACATGTATACTCGACGTTTTATGGTCGTTAAATGGAACATTTTCTCAAGGTTGATATAACGTTATCAGTTGACTTCCCGTCTAATTCAGATGTGCACTCGACGTTTTAAGGTCGTTAAGTGGGGCGTTATGTCGACGTAAGATCCGCGCTTCTTTCCAGACATTAGCCTTTCCATATTACGTCGAAGGGCCCTGACGTTCAGACTTTCGAAGTTCTTTCGACATGTGGTTGCTGACGTCATCGACCTACTTTCGACGTCTTTCCAACGTGTCTGTGCTGCCTAGTATTTCAGGAGAAAGATCCATTAGTGTGGTGACGCCACTGACCGCTCCGTCGGTGGACCTCACATCTCTGGCACCGGCGCCTTCGCTGATGTGATTTGGTCGAAGAATCGGCTTGCTTTTGACTGTTTCTTTTTTTGTAACGACTTGGCATTATTTGTGGCTACGGATATATATATATATATATATATATATATATATATATATATATATATCGCTCGCTATAGCCAACCGGCAACGGTCAGGTGGCGCCAGCAGCGTGAGAGCGCACGGTTATACCCTGACTCGTTGTAACTTGGCAAAGGGTGAACGATAAGCCCCACATTGCATGCCGAAGGCTTCGAAATGCGCGACGTGTACGAGCGCAACGCACACATATTGGAGCATGACGCAGCGAAAAGCCTGATACTTCTTCGGAGTTGAGACGCGCTCCGGTGATACGCAGTCACGTTCCGATTGGCCCGCCAGGGCCGCAGCTTCCGCTTTACTGGCACGTTACGCGATCACGGCCTCCTGGTATACCCAGTATTTCTTACTTTAGACACTAGGCTAAGCGGCGCCACCAGAGTAAAAGCTCACGTTTGAACAATGCAGCCGCCGCTCCCAGGGGTACCCAGTATTTCTTGTTTCAGTCGCTGGATGGCGCCAAACCAACAGCATTGCAGGTTGCCTATACTTATCTGTATTTGTAGCTACTTGTATGCATTCATAGCTAGGTGTCCTAGACTGCATGCGTCGTAAACCGTAAACCGTAAACCGGAGTGGAGACGCGAACGTAGACAAAAGGCTTTGTTATACTCCTACGTTGAGCACAGCGAATGTCGCATAGCGCAGAACGTGGAACATCTAGCGCCATGCCCGTACAAAAGGTATAAATATTCGTTCCGATCTTGCTTCAGTAACGCGCGGGATAAACAACCGAAGCACATTGGAAGTCTCAGCACGTTCGCTGGAGCATTTATAGGTTGGAAATACTAAACGTTTCCGACAATTCAGTCACTGCACTGTCTTGATTTTCTGCTTTAGGTTTCTGGATCTCAAATTCACGTAGAATAACCAATCGCTCCTTCTAAGGTCATATCCAATTTCTCTTTATAAGGCAATCCTCATTGTATACGCCAAAGCTGTGTTACTTCACGTGAACGTGTCCCCGACATTGTAGCGGGCCACAAATCAGGCGAAACCACCAGTGACATCTTCTAAGTTTGCGGGAAGGGCAGTTTAAAACCGGAAGACGGCAACCAAAAAGAAGTGAAGCAGCATTCCTTTTTTTGTATTTGGTGCGAACTTTCAAGCAGGGCTGCTGATATAGGAGGCGCCCTACGTGGCTCTACTATAAATCTAGATTATCTAGCTGTAAGCTCAAAACACAAAATAAAACAAAGCAAAACAAATTAGGATCAATAGAGCATGGCCTCACAGGAGGGAGATTCTTTCCTTCCTTGCTCATACTCCTATAGTGTGTTACCTTCGTTAAAGTAATGTATTTTATTTTACTATTATTTTTTTTTTTTTGCAATCTCGGCAGTTCTTAACTTGAACAGCACCGAGATGTGAAATCTCTGTCGCAAGATCTTGAGACGAGGCACCTATTGTTTAGTCATGATTACCTTTTTTTGTGTATGTGTTTGTATCGTCTGAAGAGTAGAAAGCGAAAGACGAATATCTGCGCGATAAGACTCGCTACGTTTTGTGTGTGTGTGTGTGTGTGTGTTTTTTTTTTTTTTTTGTGAACTTCTTGTTTTTGAATACGCGTTACTTGGAAACACAAAATGAAGGTTGAGCCTTTTATTTTTCCTACTTCCTCCGAGTTTCCATGTAACTGGCATGTGATTAATCAAAGTCAACCACGCGAGGCGTACTTTGTTTGAGAAAATAATAAAAGAAGCTAAAACATATAGCTTTTCATTTCCGAAGAAGCTGCCATCGTGCTTTCAGGCTTATGCTCCAACCTACGATCCAATAATGCGTCCAACTTCAGTTATACGAGCTTAAAGTTGCATATCCCTAAAGAAAACGAAAAGAACGAGGAAATATTTTTTTTTTTCAAAATGGTTAATGGTTTAATTTTTGTATAAATAAATTTTCAGTAATATCAATGAGGTTTAGTTTTCGTCAATATATTTATGGTTTAGAATACGAGATGACACAATTCGTAGGATCATTGCCAATAACCATTAATGCCCTAGTGAAGAAATTTTGAAATGAATATCTTGTTCCAATAGTCGTATATGAAAAAAAAATAAGATAAAAACATGCAAGGATATATCAGAAGTTATAAGGAACTGATAAGAAGTTTCTTTTAACTTCTTACATAATCTTATATACTCACATTATCTTAATAAGTAGAATAGATAAATGGGGTAATTGGGATATCACTGAATGAGAGGGCCAGGGAACATGCCTGGTTGGGGAAACAGTCCCCAACGGGCAATCTTGCGTTGCACTTTGATAGGATCCCATGTGGCCCGGAATTGGAAAAAAAAAAAAAACAGTTCTGGGCAGATACGCAAACAAAACATTGCGAGAAATACAGGAGGCATTCCGCATAAGAGAGCAAGGGGAGGGACTGTGTATTAGTGCGCCGTCACTGGACTTAGCAGATAAAGAGTTTTTCTTTTTAAGCCAACACCCCGACAGACGGTATTAATAGTCAATGTTTGTTTCAATAAACCTTTAGTTGAGAGGGCGCTTCGTCTCTCTTCGTCCTTGTCTATTCGGCGCTTTCTCCTCAGTATCTTAATAAGGTTCTTATATGCTCGTATAGGATCTTATCTGATCATTAGCGTGTATTACACTAAAATATTCGCATACGAAAATAGCTTTCGCTAGGTTGTGCAAGTTACTTTATCTTAAAAGTAGCCTCAAAGTGAAGTGTATGAAATAATGTTTCATCCACCTCACATCAGGCGATAATTGTTTTACCCGATACGTTTTATGAAAAAATATTTGCAAATTTATTCATCGTTCGGACCTGCCAGCAACATAAACAGAGCATAAAAATATCCACAGCCTGCACCCGTCCGATTTTATCAGAAATCGGGCATGGTACGCCAATAAAGACCTGTTTCTTTAGCGCAAAAAATTTAGTATTTCATCCACCTTATGGTGAATGAAGTCATTAGATATCATCATAAACTTTTCAGCTATTTTTTTTTTAGATCTTAATATACATGAGTTATGTTCCTGTAAAATATACAAAACGAGCCAAGGGTAAGGGCCACATCCGTCCCATTTTTACGTAATATTTTATATATCACAGTTTGCAGAGCCGAATATGAAAAGTCGTACATTACATATTACATAACGTGTCCCAGTCCGGGGATCGTAGAAAAAACATCGAAAATTAAATTTTTCTTCTCATATTGCAGCTTGACATAAATTTTCAAGCCCAAACACGTGTATGTTTGGTTCTGCATTTCTTTTTTTCAAAACTCCACTCACAGTAAGTTCTTCAGAAATTTGCTTAGGGTTAGCTCGCCACATTGCGTGTAAGACGAGCATTCCTTCCCTCCGAACAGTTAGTTTTCTTTCCCTGACCTTTACCACGACCGAGAACAGCAGAGAAAACGTTCCCCAAAAGGAACGCTCGGTTGCCCCCCCCCCCCCCCTTCCCCCTCTTCTTTCCCTCCTATTTTACTCTCCCCCCCGGGCTCCGCATCCCTTTTTTCGATTGGCCGACCGACCGCCAGCCCGAGCCGAAGCTCCCATCACTCTCCGCCTCAACCACGTGCTCTCCTCCTCTCCACGTTTCCCTCTTCCCCTTTTACGAGCGGATTTCAAACCCCCCGACAAAACTCCGCTGGCACTTTCGCGGTTCGGACGGTCTCTCCGCACCCCCTGCGCGATGCATCGGTGACAGTGCGCGTTTTTGTGGTTGGCTTCCCCGCATTGCAGACGGGCCGCCGCGCGCGCTCATCTAGCACCAATTTAAAGATGGGTGACGGCGCGGTCGACTTGGACTGGAGGAATTGGACTTCGGGTGACAACAGTTCCCCCCTGTACCTCTCCGAAGTGGAGGAAGAACCTCTCACAACCGTCGTGGCGATGACGATCGTTTACGCCGTCATCCTGGTAACGGGGGTCGCTGGAAACGTCTGCACTTGCATCGTGATCGCAAGGAACCGCTACATGCACACGGCGACCAACTTTTACCTGTTCAGCCTGTCGGTGTCGGACCTGCTACTTCTACTTCTCGGTCTACCACAGGAAATGTATCAGTTGTGGCGGAAGTACCCTTACGTCTTCGGCGAAGTCTTCTGCATCCTGCGCGGTCTAACTTCAGAGATGTCGACAAACGCGTCCATCCTGACCATCACGGCGTTCACGGTGGAACGCTACGTGGCCATCTGTCATCCGCTGCGGGCCCACACTATGTCACAGCTTCCGAGGGCCATACGGTCCATCGTGGGTATCTGGATTGTGGCCGGTGCGTTCGCGGTACCTCTGGCTCTCCAGTTTGGCATTGTGTACGAGAAGACTAGGGACGGTGGTGCGCTTATCCTAGAATCCGCCGCGTGCATGCTCAAGCGACCAGTGGAACACGCATTCACGGTGTCCACTGTCCTCTTCTTCGTGCTGCCCATCAGTGTCATATCGGTGCTGTACGTGCTCATCGGCATCCAGTTGCGGAGGTCGTCGGCTGCCACGAGGCGTGATTGTTCGCCGGATATGAACGGCAAGAGCCACAGGAGTAACACCTCGATGAGGACGCCTCGGCACACCGGCGGCGGTTCCAAGCGCGCCGTCGTCAAGATGCTAGGTGAGCTCCTCGTAAAGTGCGAGGAAAAGTTATTTTGAGTGTTTGATTTTGATGTATTCACTACCGTGGTCTCACTGGACTCCACGCGTTCGGTTAAGTTGGCCCGAAACCTATATTGCTGTTCTTTTTTTAATTATTAAGTTTTCGGAGATGTTGGCGCTGTTTGAGTCCACGTGCAGCCGACGCTACGAGCTGATGAGACCGATCACAAAACGTCAAAAGCTAGCCATCATGGTGTCAGTCATGTTTTTCTAAGTGTTCTATCATCGCTGAACCAATCATAAACAAAAAAGGCCCAGTGACTTGCGCTTTTGACTACTTGATTGGTCTCATTACCTCGTAGAGCCGGTTGCGTCTGGACTTGAGACGGCACGCGCCAGACCAAAAGATTATTTCTTTTTTTATTTACAATAACGGGATAAACGTTTCACAGTTAATAGTGCTTGATCTGTTTACGTTTTTTTTAATACAGAGTTATTTGTGATACTGCTTGTTTTTATGTTCTGGGTGCAGTGGACATGCAGAAAAAATCACGTCCTTGCGCAGATATAGCAGATGGCAAAACACTTAAGAAAACCTAGTAAAATGAACTAATTCGCTTCTTTTAAACGATTGAGTGCAATGAACAAAAATAATATGTGGCGAAACCTGTCTCATATTTAAATAAATTGAAATCGTAAATCGAAATCGGAAATCGAAATTGGAAGCCAGTTTCAAACGGCTAAAAAGAGTTTGTTAAATTGTTTCGTAAATAAAAAACAGACACACAAAAAAAGAAAAAAACATAAATTATAACCAAGCCTAGGTAGTTTGAGGTATCTGCATGACAGATTTGGTTGAATTATTATAAAAAATATTATACGCAAACTGTAAACATTCCCCAAAATTAAACAAAAAGAAAGAGACTCCTTGCAATGCTAACACAGATATGTAAAATAGCTCTTTCGCGGCGGGAAAAATTTATTTATTAATGATTTTGTTGTGAGAAGGTGAAGTTACAGCAGACTGCAATGGAGAAAAGACTGCTAGGCCTACTTCTGAACATGCGTATGATGACGTGCGACGTCAAAGTTTGAAATTCCGCGCACATAAAAATGGCTAAAATTTGTGCCATTCTAGTTTACCGGGAGGTCTTCAAATGCGTACTTGACTAATATTGTGATAGCAGCGGGCACTTAATGTTTTTAAGCATAACATACAAAGTTTCTAAGATAATAAAACATCATAACTATTTTTAATAGCGTTATTAATCGACCTGCACCTCCACTCAAGCAGAAACGAAGTACATACAAGTGCAAGAAATGCGTGGCGTTAAAAAAAAGCAAAAAAAAACTACTTCACCTAGGGAATAACAGCGCAAAGCTGAAGAACACTTATTCTTTTGCTCTCTGGAAGCTGGGATGTGAAAGCATTATTAAGGTACACTCGTTCATCGCACGTTTTCGTGACGGCTTGTCCTGCTGCACAATACTTTTCTAAGGGCTATGCGCGGCTGTAGCAATATGTCAATGATGAGTATACCATTCCGACAGACGGTGGTGATTTTGAAACGCTTTGCATGTCTTCGCTCGTCTTTCACACACCGTTGAATGCGATGCTACAACGCTACTCCCAGGTCACAAGGAGCAATCAGGATCAAGCGGCAATCTTTACTTTGGATGAGTTTGATGTTTGGAATAGGGGCTCGTGCCTCCCTTGTTACAAATGCATTCTTTTGTGGATTTCGAATATTGATGTCGTCACCCCAAATGGTACAATTACAGTGCCATCAGGTTCTTTTACATACGCATATGTTACAAAAGTGTATTTGGCTAAAGAGTTAGTAACTCCACTTCGAATTAAACCTTTTCTCGAGTCAGGCGCCCTATATGAACTCGTGATTTGTAGAATTTGATACATTGTGTTGTCCGAAAGGCATATGATCGCCATCATCATTTATTATCATTGAATGCGTTTTCGGATATTTTACAAAAGAGCAGTACAGTTTTTGTTTTCAGCCGATAATTTTGACACACATTTATAACACAGTAAAAAAAAGGATTCGTCGGATAAAGCAGGGATAAAAGTGGTTACAGAAGCGGCAAATTTGTGTGTGTCAGTCATGATGACCATGCTGTTTGGTTGTATGTTCCAATCTTTGATGGCCAAGGGTAAAGTGTAATGAATGTATGAAGTTGTTGACGAAAAAATGGGCCGCAAATTACTGGAGTGGTCAAAGCGGGGGAACTCTGCCAAGAGGGTAAAATCAGTGATTCACGAAGAGGCATGTTATGGTGAAAAATACGGTGAAGGGGAGAAAGACGAGACACTGGGCGTCTTAAAGGGGTAGGGAAACGAAATTTCAGTGGTCATTTTCAAGCTTGAATGTGTTGCATGTTGGACCCTAACCTCAAAAACACCAGTCTTCGGTTGAAGGGCACAAGAAAATTAATTTTAAACCTAAAAAAAACGCTCTTTCAATGTGCACCTGGTGGATGCATGCGGAGCCTATTTGGGAGGTAATCTAGGAACGTTGGCAAACCTGCTACGTAGCCGTGACGTAGCAGATTCCTTCGGAGCAGCGCCGCACTTTGGAATTTCAACATTTTCTTTGGTAGCTTTCCCCGCGCATAGTACCAAACGGTCCAAAAAGGCGGAAAGGAAGGACTCCCCACTTTCTCGGTCTCTCGTTTGCGCAACCGGAAACAGCCATTTTCTCCCTAGAAAATTAGCTCGTCGCTCAAAACTCGAACAAAAGTTGCTTTCCCCACCCCATTCAGCCCTAAGCTAACAGTGTTGTGGAAGCTATGTGCTCCTTGGGCCAGCCACATGCTCGTCACCCCACGGGTACTACGAACGGCTCGGTTGTAAGTAAAAGAGCTCTCTGGCTGCCGCCATTTTGCAAACCGAGCGATCCCTATTAGCCAGAAATTTCTGCCACCTGCGTGAACTGTTGAAACCCGGTCAGCGTGACTCCCCAGCTGCATTGCGCATTCGGAGTTCGCCGGTTTTTCTTGGAAGTTTTTACTTTATTTGCCTGTTTATGATGCTTACCCTTTGTGTGTTATCTTCCACTGTGAGAACCAGGGAGTACCAGGGCTCGTAGCCTGCTGGGTTTTTGCAGGGAACGAACGAACGAAGAGAATGAATTTCAAGCAGCCCGCGATGCGGGTAGTTCGACGTTCTTGGAGGATTATTTTCGTTGAGATAATCTCCAAAAAGATTTTTCTGCTATGTTCTGGGTCTTCGAGAAAAATAGCTGATAGGGTCGGGTCCGGGGTATGGGGACAGAATAGACACGTTCGTTCATTTGCTTTGTAACTGTCCAAAAAAACAGCTCTATTCTACCTGTGCCCCAAAACACGCCGGATTCCGTACGATCGTCGTGAAGTGACTATCGTCGACAGTGTATATGGATATGCTGTGTTATTTGAGAGCTTTCTCAAATCCTGTTTGGATAACACGGCACCGTGGGGCTCGTATAATATATGTTTTTCGATTGATGAGACTCGTTGAATTTCATGTTGTCAGCGGGGAATATCCATACAGTTCGGATATCCTGTGTGGCCAAATATTTTCGACGGTTGAGACCTTTTTAGATTGACACGGCTGAGTGCTTGGTGCCGTAAAAAGATCAACATAATATAAAACAAACATTCCAGTTGCAGTTGTTCTGTCGCGCACGGACTCACCAAGACAGCTTTAATTTCTTTGTTTTTGTTCCCAAATATAGTAGGATGGATTCTTAAAACCCGCAGAAATTCTATTGGCCATAGCACACATAATAAATAATAGAACGCGGCAATTTCGCCTCCACCAGCGTCCGGAAGTGCGCCTAAGCAGGCTGCCACAGCCCACTGACGAGAAACTCCACAGCAACGCGCAGTCGGGCAACACTGACGTACCCTCTCAAAATCAGGGACGCGCGCCGTAAATCGCTTCGTTCGATACTGCCGCTGGAAAAGTCTATTGACACCACCACAACGCTGACAACACTACCAAGGGCAAAGATAATAACCACTCTAGCCTTGCTACGGCACGAATGCGGGGAATCTTTTTCTTTCTGTTTTCGCTTGGGCCGGATATCCCATGACGCATCGCGCTCTCTGTTCGCTTCTCTTCGAGCGCTTGCTCGAGTGCACCGTTTGCAACAAAAAATATAGCCAGTCGTTCAAAATACAAACGTGCGATTATCATTTACGGTTATTATCCCTCATGCTTGACTCATTTCCGAACAAAACTTGAATATTTAAATTTTTGTTTCCGTACCTTTGTACGAAAGTGTATGAAGGTTTGCAGCTTTGCGCAATTCCGATACGCTTGTGAATGGTGATTATTCAGAAAAAACAAATAAAGCGCAGAGATTTGTTTTGAATATATTCAAAATTTATATCTAGGTTAGATTGCCGAGAGCACCATACAAGAGAAGCGAATTCAAACTTAGACCGAACTAAAGTTGAGCAGGCTAGTTGTTTAATCTCTGGTTGGGGAGGTTTCAGGTTTCGGCTGAAAACGCTGTGGGTACGGTTTGCGCTTGCTCCTATGTTATTGATGTGAGACGATCATGAAAGGTCAGATGTTAAATTAATATTCGAAAATTTATATTAGCTGCAAATAGTGATAGCGGAGGGGTCAAGGTGGTAGGAAGAAGGTTGTAGGAGAGCACCGCCTGAAAACGAAAGGAATTTGCATTTGTCAACATTTAGATTCATCTGCCATTTACTGGACCATCAAATACCTTGTGAAATAACAGTTCTCAAGCTATTATAATCGTCAGGCGAGAGAATGGGCCTGTATATTACGCAGTCATCTGCAAACAACCTAAGTGATGACGAGATTTCCTCATGAAGGTCGTTAATGTAGATAAAAAAATACTAAGCGCCCGAGCACACCGCTACAGCGTACGAGAGGGATTTAGAATTATAGATGGTGCTGTACTGGGTGCGGTTAGTGTAAAATTCGGATATTCTTTTTACGATAGTGGCCTGGGTATCACATTCGTTAAGTTTTATTATAGGATGTTGACGAAGGACCATATCAAAGGCTTTGAAAAGGTCGA